AGGGACTTCAGCGATACTAGAGGCCCTCAGGCACTTCAAGCCCAGAGTGGGTCAGCAGTTCTCCATCCCAAAGGGCAAAGGCAGGCACCACTGGACCCCGAAAATCTGTCTGTAGTGTGTGGACCACAGTGACCTGGCTCGCATCCACCAGGCTCAGCTTCTGGGCCTCGTACTCCAGGAGCAGGCCCACCTTCTCTGGCTGTCCAATGCCCTCAATAGGGGCTTTCTCGTTGGCCAACATGGTGTGCCACTTGCGCTGGGCATAGGTGAACACCCAGGAACGATCGTCAACACCGATGCAGCTATCCCGAGAGATGTCCATATCTGCCACTCCTATCCGGAATTGCTGGGAGCGCTTCACTGTCACTTCCCAGTAGTGTCTGCCACTGGTGACGGCTGTGTCTGCCAGCACCACTGCCCACTCCCGGAAGCGCTCTACATTCAGAGCCAATTTGGTGGGTTCTAATCCCACCATGCCATATCTGACACCTGTGTCACCTTTGAAGAGTGCCAGGCTGCTGTGGGCGGTTTTTTCTTCCAGTCTGAAACTGACGCCTGTGGGCAGAGCAAAGAGACTAGATGATAGGGGTTAAAACTCTAGAACTAATGATATAACAGATTCCGATCTGAAGCAGGCAGTCATCAGATCACGAAGAAACAGAGGAGAATCAGAATATCAAGAGGGCAAGAGAGTGGGGGCAGCCCAAGAAGCCGAAAGCTCGGACAGGAGAAGCCCAGGGTTTTAAAGAAACCAGACAGTGGAGCGTCTCAGGTTTGGAAGCTCAAGACCAACGCAAATAAGGAAGGGGGAATGACCCGAGGTGGGGTCCGGGAATAATAGGCGGAAACCATTTTGGAGGTAAAAGAGAGTAAAAGGAGATAATCCTACCTCTGCGGGCTTCGGCGGCAACAACCCCTAATCGTTTGGCTCCCCAGCGGTACAAACAGAACGAACACGCAAAGGGTAGCGCCATCTTACGCCGCGGAAGAACAGGGCACGCCCTCTGGCCTGAGACCCCGCCATCGGCCCGCCTGCTCCGCTCGCACGTAGTGCGCGAGAGACGCTAGCGCAGTGTGATGACGTAAGGGGGCCAGGGCCCAGCAGGGAGCCGCCATTTTTAGGAGTTCCGCTCTGGTTCCGGTGGTGGCTGTTACAGTTTATTCAGTTTTTTTTTTTGCGGAAAAGAATGCTTCTTACATTTTAACTAAATAGGACCTTTAGAGAAATGGTTTAACAAGATAGTTAAAGGTGATTTCAGAATTAAACAATAATTGGATTCTAACCCGTCTCCGCTGTGTAGCTTTGGATAAATCACCTAAGTTCTCTGAGCCTTAGTGGTCTTATAAAACAAGAAAAATATCTAGCTGTCAGACTTTAGTGACAATTAAATGAGAGAATAGTCTAGAATACAGGTTGACAAATAGCAACCAGTGGGTAAGTAATATTAAATACTGTAAATGTTGGTTTTGTATTTTCAGGTCTGAGAATAGAGTGGTTAATTCAATATTCGATTTTTCCAGCTTAACCAAAAGTATCACTGTTTTGGTTCAGAGTGGAACAGGTGTGAGATAGTTGATTATGGAGGGCCTACATTTAACATTCTCATCTGCTTGAGGTGCTACATCCCTGCTTTTTCAATTTTTCAGTCGGTGTGCTTATCAAGGCTCTGCTGGCTTGCCCAATATCAACATCCCATCTCCATGCTCCTATCCCTCAAAGTTATTTTAGATCCTTAAGGGCCTAAAAAATTAAAGAAAAACTCTTCCCACACCCCAGAGTTCCAACCACCGTTCCTATGGAGGTGGCACCAATACAGGCCACTGTCATCCTTGGCCTCAACTGAGGCTTTCTCTTTCTAATGGGGTGGCTTCTAACCTTGTCTCCCAATTTCCATCCGTCTGCTTTAATCCAGTGTCCACATTACAGTCAGGGATATTTCTAAATCACAAATATGATCATGCCACTCCCCAACTTAAATCTTTAAATGTGTTTGTCAAATTCTCTCGCATGATCTAAGGCTTTACATGATATAACTGCCATCTACCTTCGTTTTTTCTCATAAAACACAATCCCTCTTTTCGAAGGTCTACAGTCCATTGGGGAGATAGTTGAGAACATTGGCAGCTGCAACAGGATACATACACTAAGCTACCTTTTCCTAAAGAAACGTCCTGGATTCCCTGACTTTATGAGCTGCAACCCATAATCAGCCAGTTGCCCAGGCCAGAAACCTGGAAGTCTCTGACTTCTTTGTCTCCCTCATCTCACATATATGATTGTCACTAAATCCCTATCATCTTATTTCTCCCTTGGACTACTGCATTGGGCTTCTATGTGGTCTCCCATTCTCCCCGGTGCTTCCAAGGGAACATTTAAAGAGGTAGCTGTAGCTACCCAGCTACTTAGCTCACGCATTAGATGGTGAATTTATAAGAATGGGCATTAAATCCTTTGTTCTCTGTACCCCAGGGCCTCAGTATTCCCAGTAGTACAGAGTTAAGTGTTCATTGTTTTTGAATGAATGAAGGAATGACTCTAAAGGGAGTGTTGTGCCCACATTCTTGGAGTGCAGTAGCTCATTCCTTCCACCAGGGGTCAACCTGGCCCAGCCTTTTAAATCCCGCTTAAAGTGTGAGAAAGGTTTCCTTCTAAACCTAGGAGCAAAGGGAGGAGAGATTTCCTTCAGAAAAATCCTGCTCTGTAGGTACTTTGCATTTTGGTAATAATGAGAGGAAAGTTCCAGGATTGTGTTTCTGTAGGATTTCTCCTTTGGTTCCATCCTGGTTGTGAGAGCTGGAGCAAATAGTTTTTCTTGCCTATCATCTCTTTCATTACTTCACTTTTACAGGCTGACTATCCATCTGATAAACTCACCTACATCATTCAGATAATTTATCTGCCTCATTGCTAATGAACAAGTAATTAATTCTTAACATTTCCATGCATAATAATTAGGAAGTGATAGAATTTTACTTGACAGACAAAAATGGGAAAAGGCATTCAAAGTATAGGAGACAGCTTAGGCTAAAGCACTGGATTATGAAACAGAGTGGGGTGTTATAGGAACCATAAGAAGCATAATATTGCCTGAATCTAATGCTGGGGAGATAAGGAGAGAGTTTGGAAAAGCTGAGGCTGGATTATGAAGAGGCCTGTATGCCATGATAAGAACGTCTTTCAGGCATTCAAGAGCTGTTGAAGGGAATACAGGGAAATGGCAAATTAGGGTACTTTTGTAATGATAAAGCTAGCAGCAACATAGAGAATGAATTGGAGAGGATGAGACTAGAAATGGTCAAACAGGGTCCGAGGGCACTAGAGATCTCAGATGAGACACAGTGTGGGCTCAAGCTAAGAAGAAAAATTGATGGAGCTTAGTGGGAGTGAGAGGATGAGAGAAGGAAAGCTGATGTATAGGTTTCTGACTTAATGAGGGGATACAGAAGGAAAAGCATATTTTGATGGGAGGAAGATAGTTCAGTTTGGGGCAGGCTGAATTTGAGGTGTCTATTGAATACCCAGGTGAAATGTTCTGTACATATATAGACATAGATTTCAAGGGAGAAGTGGGCATAGGTGAAGTCATTCAAGGAGAGGGTGTAAACTAGAATAAGTGGGAGTAAACTGAAGTGCAGTCCTAGGGAATCCCAGTACCTGAGATGACATGAAGTACTTAGAATAGGACCTGACCCATAGTGAGCATTGGTCGGCCTGGCTTGGGGTTGTACCTGACTCCATAGAAAAAGAAGGGGAGAAGGAGGCAAGAACAGGATGGACCGATCTATTTTTCACTCTGTTTCTTGGATTTCCCCCATTTCTAACATAGGGGCCCTGGCCTGATCTAAGTGCTAATTGGAGCCCTTAACTATGGATGGGAGAGAGATGATGCGCTCAGAGCTTGGGGATTGTTCTGGACTTTGCCAGAAGTCAGCAGTCAGCAAAGCATAACCAGAGAAAGAGAGAGAAGGGGGGCCCTCAGGAGCTAGCCAAAGGGGCTGCTAGCCTGGTTTGTGCTACGCTGGGGCCTTTGTCCTACAGAAACTGTCCACACAATGGAGCTGGGTTACATGCTGACCTGGCATTCTGAGTATGGAGCTGGGATAGAGATTCCACATAGTGGAAGCAAAGATGGATGGTTACCCAACCCCTCAGTACCATGACTCTACTCAACCACATTGTAATTGCTAGAGATGTTCAATGCTTGATAATCATAAATTATGTTTATATCTGGTTAATTCATGAATCAGTTCATTTACACTTTGATTTAGGGCAATTAAAGTGTGTATTACTTGGGCATATCTCATTTGGTCCTCATACAATCCTGTATATACAACAAAGTAAATATTTTTATGGAACTCAAACCTGGGTTATTTTTTAGGTCCTGATGATATGGGCTGGCTAGGAAGTTGCTTCAGAAAGGTGGTGAGTCATTCCTGGACAACCTCAGAAGTGGTTATAGTAATCACGTGGGACCCACTGTGGAGAAACAAAGTAAGACAGCTCTGCATGAAGATTCCCTGAGCTTTATAGACTCATTTGCACCGTAGTAGTATGGATCATGCTCCCTATGGCACCTCTCTGGAACTGAGAAATGGGGCCTTCTCTATTGAAGGGGAGAGTAAAGTTAGGATCACTAGGCCCAGGAATATAGAGTTTGAAAGGCCGATCATTAATAATAAAGAGATAACTCAATTAAGTATAGAGATAGATGAGACTCCAGGATAATTACTACTACAAGCCATGAGATTTAAAATAACGATACCAAGTTTGTTATTTTATAAATCCTTTTTCTCCATTTTCATGGTTCTTAATGGAAAAAACTTCAAAAATGTTTGTATGCGTACTTAAGGCCAGAAGAAAGGTAGAGAATCTAGAGCAAAACATTTTTTGCAATCTCAAATACAAGAGTGGAATAGAGTGATAGCAAAAAAAAAAAAAAAAAAAAAAAAAGTGAACAGCTAACCAGAAGGGAAGACTAAGAACTTGGATGTGTCTTGGATGATCCTAGGAATGTTGACCCCAGGAATCCCCTGTACTCCCAGAAAAGTCCTCAAGGCACTTTCCTTTGCAGATTCCAACGACTGAGTTGCCAGTTCAGCATTGCTACCTTCTCACTGGTTTACTCTGTTTCAAGTAAGCGAGTGGGATATCTTTACCTTGCCTTCCCTACAATCATTGTTGTCTTCCAGATCATCCCGGGAGCTTTTCTTCTTTACCTCTTTGACTCCTCAAACCCAGATTCATAAAGATAATTAGGGAGTGGAAGGATGAGTCTCTCTCTACCTTTACTGTCAGCACCTCTGGTTAACAGAAGCCATTGTAAGCTCCTGCCCCAGGCAGCTGCCGCCTAACTGGTCAATTAAGTTAGCTGCAGCTCCCCTCCTTGAGTAGGGTGGCACTGGGTAGGTAATGAGGATAGATGGCTGATAAGACTTTAAGGAAGGAATAAAACAGGGGCACCCTGTTTTGTGCATCTTCTCATTATGCCATCTTCAATAGGCTACCAATAGACCAATGAGTTAGGCTCAGCAACTCAGTAACTTAAGTGACTTGCTGCAGACCATTTCCCCAAAGCTGCTTTGGTGGATAGTGGAGCCTGGGGGTAGTGAGAGGGATTATGTGTCTTACCCTTTATCCTAGAGTCTCTGGTCTCCTCTAGGTGAGCAATAGGGGTCATAAAGGCCAGGCTCTAAGCATGAAGGTTTTCTCTACTCTCCAGCTGGCATTCACCATGTTTGCTGTGGCTCACCAGCAGTGACGAGAGGCAGTAGGCCAGGCAGCCTGGTGGTGGGTCTTTCAATGACTGCTGGAGCACTGGCATCAGTAAGAACCCCACCCACACTAAGCAGGGGGCTTGGGGAAGGCTGGGTTCTACTCTTCTAGGGAGACATAGCTTCATTTTTTCTTTAAAGAACATGGCTAATAGAAAACATTGAGTATGCTGCTTATATATAAATCAGTGCAAAAACTCAAGTGAGTTTTCGAGAGCTCATCTCTAGTTTGAAAGTTTGGCATCCCACTAAGAAAAGAGGCTGGCATGAAAAGAAATAGGCTGGAGTTCAGGTCTCCAAGGAGTTCTTGTCAAATTTGATGAGGAATTAAAGGGGGAGGTTGGTAGCTTCGAATAAGGAAATCCAACTGTTTTATTTGGTGTCTACAAAGGCACCAAATTAGCTGCTTTTTGCCCTCTGTCTCTTATTATAAGAGGCTGTAGGGTTGGTAATTAGAGATAATCCATTCCTGTGAATAAAACCCTCATCCAATGGCTCCTATTTATTAAATGTTTTATTCTGTGCCAGGCATATACTAGGCCTTTATCTATGTTATCTTATTTGATCCCTAGGAAACTGAGGTTCAGAGAGCTTATATTAATTTATTCAACAAATATTTATTTACTGCCCACTATGTGTCAAACATATGGTTTGCAGTTGTGAACAAATCAGACACATCACTGCCCTCCTGGAGTTTATCTCTAGAGGGGATAATTTCTCCACCTAGAAAGTAGTAAAGCCTGGATTTTAGTTGCTGCTCTCCTTTATAGATTTCAAGTGCACAGAATAGTCCTTTGTTCATGACATTCCCCTCCTTGTTGTCCTATATATGTTGGCTCCCACTTACTTAGGCTTTTTTTAGATAATAATTAAGCATCATTATTAACCATACACTCAACAGAAAAACTACAACCTTAACAAACAACTTACAGAAATCTACACATATATACATAAATATTCCACTCTGTCTCCTTGCCTCCCCAACCCAAAGTAAACATCATTCTGAATCCTTTTCATCATTCTTTGCTCTGTGGGTGTGTGTGAGTGTGTGTGTGTGTGTGTGTGTGTGTGTGTGTGTGTGTGTGTGTGTGTGTGTTTGTGTGTAGTTTCATCTCTATAGTATTCTGAAAAGCATATTTTCATTTTAGATTGTTTTAATTTTATGAAAAGGTTATAATGCCATATGTAGTCTTTTGGGACTTTTAAAAAATATTTTATTGCTAAGATTCATCCCTATTATTCCGAGTCACTGTGGTGGTTCAGTCTTTTTGACTGCTGAATACTTTTCCATTGTGTGAACATGCCACTGTTTATTCTTCCATTTTCCTGTCTATGGGCATTTGAATTGCTTCAAGTTTTTTGCTATTGTGAACAGTACTGCTCTAAACATTCCTGTACATGTCTCCTGGTGGAGGTTTAGAAAAGTTTCTTTTGTGTATATAAGTGAGAAGTGAAATTCCTGGGTAGAAAGAATGTGTTTATCTTTACAGGATGGTGCTATACTGTGTCCAAAGTGATTATTCCAATTAGACCCTCACCAACACTCAGTCATAACTAATTCTGGACCTTTGCATCCCCATCTACATCTGAATCAAAGTATCTATTGCCAAGTTCTCTGCTCTTAACACCATGAGGTGCTATCTTCTCTCCTTTTCTGGAAGCAGTATGAACCCTGCGCATAGGGTCCCACAATGGAGCCAGTGGTGGTACTGGGACCTGGGAGTATCACTGGATGAGATGCAGTAGGGGTTATGGTGCCTGAAGTTAGGAGATTGGTTAGGCTTCTAGGATACAAGAGACTCTAAAGACCTCTGATAGATTGTTCTGCTTCCATGGAATTGGGAGCTACAGTACCCTTGGGTGCTTTCTGACCTGTTCTCAGCAACTCTTCCTGCATGTGGATGGGTTAGATGAGCTGTAACTCTTTCTGTCCATCCCTAAGCTGGATATTGGAAGAGGAGAGGAGCATAGGCCCTGATCTGTGTTCCTCTTCTCTCTCCACAGGTGTACTGGATGGGACCAATGCTGGGCACTAATATTGCAGGCCTGTCCTTCAAATTTTTGTTCTCCTCTGATGCTTCTCGGGATAAGCTTGTGGCCTTTATGACTTGCCACTATACAAAGATGGTGGACCTTACCAGTGTGACCCATTCTGCCTTCTCCACCACCACACAGCCCCCACCTCTAGGTTCCAAGTTCATTAACCAAGCCTGAGTACAAACGAACCTCTTTCCCCAAGCTTTCCTTCCCATTTTGTCCTTTTCTCTTTCCTTGACCAGCTTGCTTCCCCAGACACCCTCGCCCCAACCTTTCCCTAGGGATCAAGGTTTAGGAGCCTAGTGTCCTCTGATCACAGCCATATTAAGAGGCATTAGATCCTCCCATTGCTTCATAGCCATGACTCAGTTTTCTTCCTTTCAGTACTTCTCGCTAGGACTTTTTGAGTTAAAGAAGATGAAGTACAAGCCGATCCTGAGATTTAACTACTAACCCCTTTTCCCCTCCCCAGCCCTCCAACCCCACTCCCAGCCTATCCATGGAAAATAACCTCTTCCCCTTATCTGTCTCTGTGGTTTAAAAGGCTAGGCTGAGAGTTTAGAAAGGGAGGTGCTGGCATGGGTTGGGGGTAGGGAACCCAGGGCTAGGAGAAAGCCAGACACAGCAGAACTATTCTTGTCCCAGAGCTGCAGGGTCCACAGATTCCAGCCCAAACCAGCCAATGGGAGAAGGCCCTCTAATCCCAGAGGACTAAAGAATTCTCTTCAGTTATCCAACATCCCTGCTGGACCCCACTCCTGACCCCACCCCCACCCTTACCCCTGGCCAGCTCAGAGGAGCCTGGAGGCCCCCAGGAGCACAGTCTCATACTTCATGAAATAAACTCAACTTGACTGACCTTCCAAACTGTTGAGGAACGTTCTAATATAGATGTCGATCAAGGCTATGAACTCCAACTTTAACATGAAAAGAAAGGCAGCCTCTTTTGAGGCCCCCTGTTCTTGGTCCCTTACTTTCAGAGCCTCTCCAGCTCTGACCCTAACCCCACCTTCACACCCAGTACTCTGCTCATCTCCCAGTTGAAGAGGGAGGGGAAAATCCAGCAGCTTTATCTGATGCATGAGAGTGGGCCCAGCCCTCTGCAGCTGTGAAGGGGTTAAGAGGCTGGGCCAGCCACCTCAGCCTGCCCCTCCCAGGGATTAAGAGTCCTCTATAAAGGGGACTGGCCACCCAGATCAGGCCAGGGGGGTATCAGGGACCCAGGCATTGAGCCCATCCCCCCTGCCATGTGGGAACTGCGGTCAGCCTCCTTCTGGAGGGCCATATTTGCTGAGTTCTTTGCCACCCTCTTCTATGTCTTCTTTGGACTGGGGGCCTCACTGCGTTGGGCCCCTGGACCCCTGCATGTCCTGCAGGTGGCGCTGGCCTTTGGCCTGGCCCTGGCTACGCTGGTGCAAGCTGTGGGCCACATCAGTGGAGCCCATGTCAATCCTGCAGTCACTTTTGCCTTCCTTGTGGGCTCCCAGATGTCCCTACTCCGTGCCTTCTGCTATATGGCAGCCCAACTCCTGGGAGCCGTGGCTGGGGCCGCTGTGCTGTATAGTGTTACCCCGCCTGCCGTCCGAGGAAACCTAGCTCTTAACACGGTAATGGTCAGCTGAGTGGGGCTGAGGGAACTTGATGCCCTGACTTCCTGCCTGGTATGGGTGGATCAGTACCCCGGGGGTCTGGGACATTTGTGTGTGTGTGTGTGTGTGTGTGTTTATTTCAGGATGGGGAGGATCAACAAGTGGTTTGGAGGGATAAGGAAGGCATAGAGCCCTGGAATGAGAATCAGGAAACTTGAGTTCCAGTCCAGCTTTTCTTCCAACTCCTTACAGGTTCTTTAGGAAATGTATTTTATCTTATGGGGCCTCAGTTTCTGCATATGCATAAGTGGGTGCAATTATTTTCAACATGAAGAAATATTATTAGGATAAATTAAGAAAAAATGTGGTTACTATGAAAGGGGTCGTGTTATCCTTCCTTTCCAGGGACTTGGTGCTATAAGAAAGGGTCTTGCCTGGGAAGTCTTGAGGCTTCCTAACGAGTGCCTCCTTTCTTTTTCCTTTGCCCAGTTGCACCCTGGGGTGAGTGTGGGCCAAGCCACCACGGTGGAGATCTTCCTGACGCTCCAGTTCGTGCTCTGCATCTTTGCCACATACGACGAGAGGCGGAATGGCCGCCTGGGCTCTGTGGCCCTGGCTGTTGGCTTCTCCCTCACCCTGGGGCACCTCTTTGGGGTAAGCAGAAGAGGGGAGCACCTTCTCACTTAAGGATTCCAGGGCCCCAAAATCTTTCCTGACTTTTAAGGGTTCTTCCCGCTCACCTGTCAAATATAAACATTACCTACCTCCCTCTGTATCACTCAGCACAGAGGAATCAAACTTGCTTATTCCTCTCTCTCTTGTGACTTCTGTGTCTAGTCCTTCTTGAAGCCAAGGTGGAAATGCATGCATCATGGATAGATGTGGGCTTTGCCTGTGGATCCATAGTCTGTCCTCAGACTGAGCATCTGTGCCTTCACTCCATTGTGGGACCCCATGTGGCTGTCCTTCCCTACTTGCTGCTGGCTGGAGGCAAGGTGCCAGCCTTAAGGAGCATGTGGATTGAGGGGAGAGAAAATGGGGTGGAGTTGGGGGGAAGTGCTCAATTACAACTGTGTCTTTTGCAGATGTATTATACTGGTGCAGGCATGAACCCTGCCCGCTCCTTTGCTCCAGCCATTCTCACCAGAAACTTCACCAACCACTGGGTGAGTGAGGGAGAGGGGCAAGATCCTGAAGCCCTCCTGGATGGGTGTGGACTGCAGGTTCCAGGTTCGGTTCCTGCTTTCCATTTGGATGTGTTAACTGCTGTACCAGCACTCAGCTAAGCAGGCTGTCACAGGGTTTGGCTGTCACAGAGTTTGGCCTGCCTGTGTGAGCAGGGTTCATTAATTTGCTAGAAAGAGAAGCTCTTGCTCATATTGTTCCTTTGCTAGTTAGTCAGGGAATTTTACTAACTGTCTATTGGATTCCAAAACAAGCACTGTGAGGACAGACAACTGAACAGGAAGACCAAAACTTCTACTCTCAGAAGTCAGGATGTGTATAAGCCCAAATGGGCTGGGATTTCATCCCAATTCTAGCACTTTACTAACCTCATGTGTGACTATGGCAAAGAACTCAATCATTTTGCACCTTAGTTTCCTTACTATAAAATGAGGTGTTATGAGAAGTGAGTGTAAAAGTTACGTGTGAGATATTTATCTCATGTGGAATGAGTCCTCAGTAAAAACTGGCTATGTTTGGCCATGTGTCAGACAAACATGAAAATAATCCAAAACATTGTCAAAGCTATATACCCACTTTCATAGCCACATTATTCACAATAGCCAAAAGGTGGAAGCAATCCAAGTGTCCATTACAGATGAATGAATAAAAAAAATTTGGTATATACATAACCATAAAATAGTGTTCAACCTTTAAAAAGAAGGAAATTCTAACACACATTACAACATGGATGAACCTTGAGGACAATATGCTTAACGAAATAAGGCAGTCACAAAAAGACAAATATAGTATAATTCCACTTATTGCAGTACCTAGAGTAGTCAAATTCATTGATATAAAGCAAAATGGTAGATGACAGGGAGAGGGGGAAATGGGGAATAGTTATTTAATAGATATGGAATTTCAGTTTTGCAAGATGAAAAAGTCCTGGAGATTTGTTGCACAACATGTTACATGAATATACTCAACACTATTGAACTGCACGCTTAGAAATGGTTAAAATGGTAAATTTTGTTATGTGTATTTTATCACAATTAAAAATTTTTTTCAAAGCAATATATAAACTAGTGTAAACTGGTAACAACAGGTAGAATATACCTAAGAAGGTGTGGGATAAAGGAATAATTTGATGAGTCAGAAAAGAAATGGTGAATTTTGAGGTGCAGGCAGTGGAACAGGCTAGTTTTAAACCAAACAAACTAACCAGCACTGATTTCCCCTTAAATAGTGCCCAGTTATATGTGCCAAATGCAGGATGCCTGTTTTCTATCCATGGAGTTTGGAAAAGAGCCATTTTGCTTTTGATTTCCTCCCCAAGCCTGATTATTCCCTTCCTCTTCCTACAGGTGTACTGGGTGGGCCCAATCATTGGAGGGGGCCTAGGCAGTCTCCTCTACGACTTTCTTCTCTTCCCTCGGCTCAAGAGTGTTTCTGAGAGACTGTCTATTCTCAAGGGTACCAGGCCCAGTGACTCCAATGGACAACCAGAGGGCACAGGGGAACCTGTTGAACTGAAGACCCAGGCCCTATAAAAGCTCCAGTTGGATAGAGAATGTAGGAAGCTTCTGGGTTTACGTGGAGACGTGGAGGGGCTAAGCCAGCCCCTGGATGAAGAAAGAGACTGTGGGGAGGGGCATGTACTTCTTTATTTTTTAATTTACGTGCGTGTTTTTTTTTTTCCTTTTGCCGTGTGAAATCTTTCAAGTTGCATTCATGAGCTGGTTGGTGCAAACTTCCCTTCCTCCCCATCCCACCTCTTTTCGCCGATGTGTGTGCATGATTGTGCGTATGAATGTGAGTGAATGTGGCTATGTCTGAGTTTGGGGGCATGGCAGGAGAGGTAAGGAAGGGAAAAGAGCTATCATCCTATACCTTCCTCTCCCAACCCAGTGTGGTGAACACGGAACCAAGACCAGTCAAGTGTATGGTTCTAGGTTTCTGAGGGAGCTGGGAAGCAAGGAGTACTCCTCAGAGGAGACAGAAGGAGAGAAGTGAAGGAGTTAAGGCATTCCAAGGGTTGGGAAGAGCAGGTAGGGGCAGAGAGAGAGGAAATAGAAGTATTAGCCCCAGTTCAGGATGCAATTGTATCAAAAAGTTTGAGGGAAGTTAATAGAAGTGTAGCCTACTTATCTCAGGGATGCTTGCCCCAGGGACTTGGGTGGGGAAGTAGCTCTGAGAAAAGTGAACACTGAGGTTTGAACTGTTCTGTAAAGCCACATAAACCTGTCTACATCCATTGGCTGGGTTTTGTGTTCATTCTGGCAAGATGGATCTCTTTGGAGGGCCTGGGCCAGTGAGCTCCCAACCTAAACAAAGGGTGGGTGAGCCTAGAATCTAGAAAAATCAAGTAGTTTAAGGGTTCTGCCTGACATTCCCAGTGGGGCCGCTAGGCAGATGGTACTTAAGCCCCAGAAGAGCTCCAAGGCAAAAACAGGAAATTGATGCCTGGAGCAAAGGCAGAGGGGCGGGTGGGAGTGTAGGAGGGATGGGCTTTGACCCTGAGTTTTAATTTAGTTAGAGCAGATCAAAACACTCTTCAAACGGCATCTTGCTGCTTTTATCACTAGTTTTTTATTTTCCTTTTTTGTGTCTTTTCACTTTTCTCTCAACTGTCCTTTCATCTTCAGCAAATCTCTTCTAACTCTTCTCCTATCCCAGAAATTGATTCCTTCTATTCAAATACTTAATAATTCAGGAGATAATTATTCAATCGAGCCCTATCTTCTTTTGTTGTTGGCAAAATACACTCATCTCAGCACAGGCCAGAGGAGATCCTCAAGTGATCAATGAATATTTATTGTCGATCTCTTCCTTTTAGGAGCCTCCTGCATACTTCGCAAGCTTTAAACCTATACTTCCAGTATGACAGACACCCCCGCCCCGCAAAAGACCACTCTTCCCTGTAGCTCAATTCCGCACTTCTTCCCAAATAAAGCCTAACTTTTCTAACCAACCCTGTAAGACTTTGGAATAATCCACTTGACTAGGAGAAGGGGAAGAATGTTTGTAAATTCACTTCTAATTGGGTTTTGATTCCTATTACCTTAAGTCAGCAAAAAATTCATTGCGTTGTGATTTTTGGCTCAATGTAGGAGATGGACTCAGATAAAACAGTACTTGTGACAGCTCCCCTTTTCCTTACTTTATCACCACTACCACCCCGCCTGCTCGAGGTCACATGGACCAGCCCGGTTCGCCCCGCCCCGCCCCGCAACCAGGAGGCGACTGGTCCCTCCCAATCTGGTGGCGGGAAAAGCTGCAGCCGCGGGCGGGGGGACCGCTGCCTTCTCGGGGATCCTGAGGACCGGCGGGGAGCGGGTGAGTGAGTGTGTGGATGAGAGAGCTCTGAGTGGACTGCATCCCTGCAGAGCTGCGGGGCACTCGGGAGATGCTGGGTCTTCTTTCCCGCCACTGAGTTTAAAGGCAGGAGGGGCGGGGCGCGCACTTTGGGTGCGCACGCGCAATTCCCCACCGTGCTGCACCCTAAGTGAGTGCCATGGCGTTCGGTTCTCGCCGGGGACTTTCCCTCCTTCCCACGCCACTCCGCACAGTTTGGTCTTCGCGCGAGGGTGGGGCTGTGATGGGAAGGGGCTTCGAACCCCTGAAGTAGAACAGAAAATTTCAGGGCATTTCCACTTCAGAACGCCCCCATCCAGTTCAGACCTGAGGAAACAGGTTGCAGCTTGGTGGTCAGCAGTTGTCAGAATTCACAGGTCGCGTGGCTTAAATCTCGGGTTTTTATAGGACAGTTTTTCATTCCTTTTCTTCCTTTCCCTCTGGTATAAGTCTTAAGGAGAATACAGCCTTCGCATGGGTTTGTTAGCCAGACCATCAGCCACCATTTAAGCTTCCGCCCTTGAGTCTCTCTTTACTCTGTCTTTCATGCTGCCATGAGTTATCTTTATAAATAAAATCAATCTGGCCATTTCAGATTAAATTTGAAACTCCTTTTGGGCCACCCACAGTCAGGCTTAAATCCGTAGGTGGGCGTCCATGGCCTTTCATAGTCTGGCCCTGACCCTCAGCCTCATTTTTTAAAACTCTCTAAAATTTTTCCTGATTTATGAACTTAACTTACAGCCACATGGAAAGGGTGTATCTGCATTGTGCTCTTTCATGCCGGAGTGCCTGCTGTTTCTTCTACTAGAAGTTCTGGCCACTTCTCTTTCAGGACTGAGCTCACTTGTTCCTCTGAAAATCTGTATTTCCAGCCCTCCTAAGGCCAAAGTAGTCACTTCTTTGTGTCCTTGAAGTACTGTACTTCCATTATCTGTGGCACAGGAACCTTATATTGAGCTCCTAACATGTATGGTGCATTGTGCTCAGTGCCCAGTGGATAGAGATGATTAGGTCAGAGTTCCTGCCCTCACAGTCTGGAGCTCACAGTCTGGAAGGGAAAACACATGTAAATAAGTCTGCAGTTACTGGGTGACAAAGTAGTCTACCTGACTTCCTTACCTTACCTCTCTCAGAGCTCTTGAGTGAGCTTATCTCCTTCCACAGTTTCTCACACCATCCTGAGATGTCCTGATGCCTCCACATCTTCGGCCCCAACCTTTCCTCCTTCAACTTCGAGACTTTTCTACTTCAGTTCCGTTTAGAAACCCTATGTTGAGCATCTACCTTGTGCTTATCACAATGATTACTTAGCTGAGGAGTTTATATTTTAGTGTAATTTGTTAACAGGGAATTGAGTTAGAATCACACATTTTCAAAACACACTTATCTCCACCCCCCCCACCCCTCCCATAAATTTTGATTCGGTAACTAGTCTGAAAAGTCAGTGGTGAATAAGTAACAATTCCTGCCCTCAAGGAATTTAAGACTAATGGAGGGGGACAGACATTTTAAGCAATCTATTTAAGCATTATGTGCAGCATGAGCTGTAAATGCCATGATGGAAATCTGTCCACACATGAGCTGTAAATGCCATGATGGAAATCTATCCACACACCAGGGAGAGAGAGGTCACTTCTTTATGGAGAAATCAGGAGGAAGTACCATTTGGGCAGTCTTAAAAGATAATTGGATAGACTATAGGTGGATGAGAGAAGGGCATTCCAGACAGGGCTATCTTGAGATGGAAGCTTAAGAGCAGGCAGATCATTAAGGGCTTTATATTGTAGGCATTGGGATCCACCGAAACTTTAGTTTTGTATAGTAGTGCATGCCAATGGTAATTTAAGTTATACTAAAGTAAAAGAAATATTTCTTCTACCCTATACTACCCCTCCACCCCATCCCCCCACCAGGTCTCCCCAGAGATAATCACTATGAAGGTTCATATGTATCCATTGAGATTTAGGCAGGGTGGTTATATGGCCGGCTCTGGTAACCATATTTTGTATAGAGTTAAGAGAACAAGACTTGAGGCAGGGA